GATGGAGTGGTGAGGGACGTTTCGCTTGCTTTGGGGAGTGGCAGTAGAGGCAGCCCAATATCTTTCCTATGGGGAGAGTGCAGGGCCACAGGAGAGGGGGCTGTGGGGAGAACCTGGCTCCTCAGATTACCACCAGCCCCCTTCCTGGGCCATCCCTTAGGTTGTTGGGCTGGGGCTCATAAATGGGTTGAGTGTTTTGGGCTGCAGAGGTGCTGACAGCTCCCTCCCACTGGTCCCTGCAGCATCCCCTCCACAGTGATCCACCCAGCAGTGGTGCGCCTTGGCCTCCAGTACTCCCAGGGCATCATCAATGGCTCCAACGCCCGCTGCATTGCGCTGCTCGAAGTCTTCAAACAGGTACCTGAGCAGCTACCTGGCAGCAGGGGCACTGTGCTGCGTGCAGGTGTGTGTTCCTGTCCCCTGACTGCTGAAGCTGTATCTGTGGTCAGTCATCCTCAGCCTCTTCCTTTGGGAGGCAGGGTCCTTTTCTGGCACTGCCACTGCTGTTTTGAGTCCCTGGAGCACCCTTTGCCCCTCCAGGCAGTGTGTCAGGCTGTGCAGGACGTGTGCCCTGACTGCAGCCTGTCAGGCAGGGTACCCTGAGATCATACTCCTTTTCTGTTTGTCTTAGCTGATCCGGGATTACTCCACTCCCCCCAATGAGGAGCTGTCACGGGACTTGGTGGCCAAGCTAAAGCCACACATCAGGTAAAGGCTCCCAGTGCCAGAGCAGAGGGACCAAAGCTCCACAGAGTTTGGTCCATTGTTCACATCTCTGGGTTGGTATCCACCCAAACTTTGGCTGACTTTGCTAGGCTCCTGCCTTCCTGCCCACCCTCCCTCTCCCTGTGTTGGCCCTCCAGGCTGCTTTGAAGCTAAGCCCATTTCTTCTGCAGTTTCCTGAACCAGTGCCGGCCTCTCTCAGCCAGCATGGGCAATGCCATCAAGTTCCTCAAGAAGGAGATATCATGCCTGCCTGACACCCTGAGAGAGGATGAGGTGAGTGGCCTTGCTCAGTGGCAGGCTCCAGGCCCTGGATGAAGGAGCTGAGCAGGGATGGGATGCAGACACAGAACAGTGCTGCAGTGGAATTGAAAGCTTGTTACTAGGGGGAAGAGCCTGATCCTGACCTGGCTCAAATCAGGGAGTTGCTGAGAGCAAGAAAGTCTGTATGTGATGTGTCTCCTCAGGCAAAGGAAAAGCTCCAGGACGTGATTGACAAATACCTGCGAGAGAAGATTGTCCTGGCAGCTGAGGCCATCTCAAGGTCTGCCTTTGAGAAGATCAATGACCGTGACGTGATACTGGTGTATGGATGGTGAGCATAGGCAGTGGATCCGGCGAGTGGGAGGAGGGAATGGAACAGCATGGGAGGTGAGGCTGTGATGGTCCTGCACAGGGCTCGGCACTGTCCTGCCTGGTATCAAGTTGAATTCCAAGAACCCCAGAGTCACAGCTCCCTCCACCCAGGGCACTTACAGAGCAGCCAGGGTTCACTGGATTTTAAACAAACTGCAACAAAGTCAAATGTTGGGAAGCAAAAATACAGAAGTTTGCATCCCAAGAAGTAGAGGTGGGGAAAAGAACCAGAGATTGCTGCAGCAAGAGTCCAGGTATGCTATGTATGCTGGGCAGAGGAAGGAGCGGGGGCAGGAGGCCAACGCAGGCCAGGAGTGTTGTGACGGGGAAGCTGGTAGAGGGTGTGGAGTGGCAGAAGCCCTTGTGCTGGTCACAGACAGGGAGGTCAGTGCTGCTTCCAGGGAGGGCTGCGGCGTCGCCTTTCCCAGGGTGCTGCCTTGTGCAAAGACAGGGAGACATGCCCTGGGAGCCATCTTGGCAGGAGGGTTCTGGAAGGGGCAGCACTCACAGGATGTGGAGGATGAGGGTGGATATCTGCTCTGGTGGGAGGAGCAGCTCCTGACGGGCGCCCTGCAGCTCCTCCCTGGTGAACCGGACGCTGTGCGACGCCCACGCAAAGAAGGGCCGCGCGTTCCGCGTGATCGTGGTGGACAGCCGGCCGCGCCTGGAGGGCCGCGAGACGCTGCGCCGCCTGGTACGCAGGGGCATCCACTGCACCTACGTGATGATCAACGCCATCTCCTACGTGCTGCCCGAGGTGAGGGGCTGTGCCACGGCCAGGGACACTGCAGTGGCATCAAAGGTGCTGACAGCTCCTGTGCTTCCCCGACAGGTGTCCAAAGTGCTGCTGGGAGCCCACGCGCTCCTGGCCAATGGCTCTGTCATGTCCCGGGTGGGTACCTCACAGATTGCGCTGGTCTCCAAGGCCTACAACGTGCCCGTCCTAGTCTGCTGTGAGACCTACAAGTTCTGCGAGCGGGTGCAGACAGATTCTTTTGTCTCCAACGAGCTGGGTACGGCTTCTGTCCCTTTCCTCCCACTTGGGACCTTCTCTCCCAGTCCCTGCTGTGGACCATAACAGACTGCTCGGCCCTGCCATCCCTGTCCCTGGGCAAGGGGTCACTTGCAGGCAGGGGCACAGGCAGGCAGTGGTGGTGTGTGCTGCTCCAGGGGCAGGACAGAGAGGTGCTGTCCCTCCCCAATCCTGACTGCTTCTCCACTCTCTGCAGATGACCCCGATGACCTGATTGTGCTCCGGAAGGGCCAGGCCCAGCTTGGGGGCTGGGAAGAGAACAAGTCCCTACGCCTTCTTAACCTGGTCTATGATGTGACACCCCCAGACCTGGTGGATTTGGTCATCACAGACTTGGGCATGATCCCCTGCACCTCAGTGCCTGTGGTCCTGCGTGTTAAGAATGTGGATCAGTAGTCAGAACAGCTGCATGGACACTAATAAACCAGGCCCCAGTACTCTGTGTCTGCCATGTGTGGTGTGGCAGAGCCCTGGCACCCATCATCTCATCCATGTCACCACTGGCACAGCTCTGCGCCTTCTTGGGGCCTCTCCTCCCACTCCATGCTGCAGCACAGATGGGTCTTCCCTGTCCCTCGGCCCCTCTTCCACTGTGGTGATAGCCCCTGGCTTACCCTCCTCGGAGATTTGGTGACACTGGGGCTGTGCTGGCAGACCCCGAGCTGGGCCGGTGGGGGAGAGCCCGGGTCCCTGTGGCCACTGGAACCAGCCCCGGAGAGGGCCCTTCCCCCGCGGGGCGGCCGGTCTGTGCACCCCGGTGGTGCGCGGGGCGGTGAGGCCGCACGGAAGCGGGACCGGCGGCGGCCGAGCGCGACCGGCGGGGCCCGGCGGGGGCGGGGCCTGCCGCTGGGGGCGTGGCCATGTAAATCGCACAGCTGCCCTGGCAGGGGCGGGGGCTCAGCGGAGCCCTCACGGGGCGTGTCTATGCAAATTTTGCCCCACCGCGCGGCATACCGGGACGCGGCCCGCGCGGAGCTGCGGCGTCTCACTGACTGCACAGGGAGGAATTCCTGTCGGGCAGGTCGCTGCGCCCCGGTGTGCTGACCCGTGCGACATCACCAAATGCAGTTTGACTGCATAATTTATGATAGGGGAGTTGGTGTTCGCGTTCTCCCTGCCTCTGTCGTTTGGAGGGAGAGTTGTAACCAGGGCTGGCTACAGATAGTGTGCACAAGTCTGTTGGTATACGCAATTGCAGCGGCCCGGATCGTTTACAGACGCAGCGGCAGTGTTGCAAGCCCGACTCCAGGGGCCCTCGGCGCCCGGTCCCTGCCCCATCTCCATGTGTGCTGAAGCAGCCCAGCCTCTCCAGTCTCCAGCCTGCGGGGTCGAGAAGTGCCTCCGGCCCGACTGCACGTTCGGTGGGACGGCAGGACTCGGATTAGTGTCCCAGCCAGCACACCGACCTCTTGGTGGGGACGGACAGGGGCAGAGAATTCGTCCGACTCTGGGTGTGTCAGATTCCCGCTGTCTCTAAATCCAGTTGAACCCACAGACTCGGCAGGGTGTGATCCACACAGTGCTCACCGATGGGATCGCCATCTCTGCACCCCGTTTCCGGTAAGGACTCATCCACCGGGATGTTTCCCTGCTCCTTCAGACATGCCGTGGGACAGGGATCATCCCGGCTTCAATGGCAACAGTCCACAGGCCCCCTTTAGGGATCCGCTGGCCAATTACTGCAGGGAATGGGGACATGTCTCCCGGACACCGGCACGGCCTGCTCGGAGAGAACGCCCTGGGATGCCCCTGAACCCACGGCTATTCTCAAATCGCACACCGAGAGCTCGACCGGACTGTCCTGCCAGGGAATCCCTGACCCCTCGCGGGGCGCCTCCTACACCCGCGGTCCGAGATCCCACGGCTGCCGTGTCCCTCGCCACGTTCTCGATGCAGTGCGGGAGTGTACGCTGCCCTGTCACCTTCGCGGCGAGCAGCGACCGCGGGCATTCAACCCGCGGGACAAGCTCCGCTCGAGATCAAAGAATAGCGGGGGAGCAGAATTCATGTACCAAAAATACGGAACTTTTCTTTGTGCGTTTTAGAATAGTTCACTTAACTCTATTTTTACACCGCAGAGACCAGGGGAGAGCGCGAACGCAGTCCCCCACTACCACAAATTATGCAGTCGAGTTTCCCGCATTTGGGGAAATCGCAGGGGTCAGCACACCCGGAGTGCAAGGGATGAGCCTCGCCCTGGGAAAACCACCTGCCTGATCATGGTGTCTCCCCTGCCAGGTAAGTATGCCTGCCTCCCGCCCCGCCCGCGCCGCCCGCCCGCCGCACGACTCGCCAGCACACGGCCGCCCCGAGCCCGGCCCCGCTGCCCCGGCCCCGCGCACGCCCCGGCCCGCACGGCCCGGCCCGCACGGCCCGGCCCGCGCAGCGCCCGCGGACGCGCGAGGGCAGCGCGCTCTTGGCGCGGGCTGCGTCCCGGCATGCCGCGCGGCGCCGCCTCGTTTGCATGGACACGCCCCGTGAGGTCCGGCTGATGGCTCGGCCTACCCACCCTCGTCGAGCCCTTGTGACGTCACCGGCCGGCCGCCCCCGGTTCCGGTTCGGTGCGGGTGGCGCGGCCCGCACCGGGCGGCGGCTCCGGGAGCCCCCGATGGCGTCGAGCGCCGCCCGCGGGCCGCCGCGCCGGGAGCGGAGCGGCCGGGAGCGGCCGGGACGACGGTCGGGTTCTGCCGGGCGGAGCCGGAGCCGTAGCGGGGAGCGGGAGGGCGAACAGAGCGTGCTCCGTACGTACCGGGACTGCACGGAGCGAGGCGGGGGCGCGCCCCGGTGCGAGGTGGTGCCGCCGTACGTGGTGCCCAGGGGCCCTGCTGCGCTCTGGTGCTGACTGCGGTGTTTTGGGGCAGGGGAGGAGCCGCCGGCGGGAGCTCTGGGCTGTGAGGATGGCGGAGAAGCCGGGAAAGCCCCGAGAAAACCTCCGCGGCCCCGGGTCGTTCCCGACGGGGCGGCGGAGCGGCGCGGCGAGAGCTCCGCCAACGGGGCCGTGCCGCCGGCGCGGGCCGGCGCGGGGCGCGGCAGGAAGGGCAAGGCCGAGGTGCTGCTGCTGGAGCTGGCCCAGGCCCCGGAGCCCGCCCCGGGGGAAAAGCGGCTGGCGAGCAGCGAGGACCGGGACGGAGCTGAGAGCCCGCGGGGCGGGCGGCCCAAGAGGAGGGCGGCCAAAGTGTAAGTGATGCTGATCATTTGGGCCCGAGGGCACCTGTGCTCTAGAGACAGAGAGTGCTGGGAATGTTCAGCCTGGATAATAAAGGCTCCTGGGAGACCTTAGAGCCTCCTGCGGTGCCTAAAGGGGCACGGAAATGTTGGAGAGGGCCTTTTGACAAGGGCCTGTAGGGATGCAACACAGGGGAAAGGCTTCCCACTGCAAGAGTTAGATGGGAAATTGGGAAGAAATCCTTCCCTTTGAGAGTGGGCAGGCCCTGGCACAGGTTACCCAGAGAACTGTGGCTGCCCCATCCCTGGAATTTTTCAAAGCCAGGTTGGATGGGCCTTGGATCAATCTGGTCTAGTGGAAAGTGTCCCCCAGTCCATGGCAGGGGTTGGACTTGGATGAGCTTTAGAGTGTCTTCCAAACCATTCCCTGGTTCTGTGATTCAGCAATATGTCTCCCCTGAGGGTCTCAGTGTCTGTCCTGTAGGACTTTGCCCCATGTTGGTGAGATGTGCTGATTCCTCACAGACCAATCCTTTCCCACTTTAGGGAATGTGTTTGGATCCAGGAGCCCCTGGCAGGGCGCAGCAGCTGCCTCTGGCAGGAGGAATTTCCTTGGTTCCTGACAGAGCAGGAGGAGCTAATTGGTGGTAGCAGGGCAAGCTCCAGGGAGTTCAGGGTGGGGGGAGGCTGTGTGCTCAGGCACAGCTGGAGCAGATTCATTGCCCAGACCTCGGGCTGGACAGTGCATCCACCGGGTCCTGGGGGAGGGAGGCAGGGCTGGCCCACCCCTGTGTCATCCTGCTGCTCACCTCCAGGCACTGCCTGGTGTTGCAGGGCTCTGCTGTACCTGCAGGAGCTGGCCGAGGAGCTGATGCCCGTGTGCCAGCCCCCTGCTCTGGCCAAGGGCACGCCGGAGCCCGAGCGCGGCCAGAGGAAGCGCCGGGGCCGGAGGAGGAAGGAGGAGGACACAGACAGCGATGACCCCACGCAAGATGCTGACTTCGTGCCCTCGCAGGAGGTGCTGCAGGAGGAAGAGGAGGAGGAGGAGGGCAGCGACACACTGTTCAGTGAGGCGTCGGAGCCAGAGCTGGAGGCACCTCGAGGGCATGGCGGGAGGACGGCAGCCATGGCGGTGAGGGCAGGGACAGGGGCTGGGTCCCCATTTGCCTGTGTCCCAGCACCGACAGCTCCCAGTGCCTGAGCTGTCCCATAGGGTCCCTGCTGCCAGGGCAGGACCGCTGGGACAGGGGTGGCACATGGGGGAGGCACAAGGCCAGGGGCAGCCCCGGGTGAGGGCCAGTGGGGATGGGAACAGGGCCTGTGCTCCTGCTGGAGCAGGGGGAGGTGGAGGCAGGTCCTGAAGGCGTCCTGGCTTCCTGGGAGTTCCCATAGTGGGGCTGTATGTCTTGAGCCCAGTGTGGCATGTTGACAGCAGCTGGGGAGAACTCTGTTCTCAGGGGCTGTGGTGGTTCCCTTTGGGACAGGTGGTCCCCCAGGGCTCAGGGCTTTCTCTGAGTCTGCTCTTGTGCCCAGAGATCCAAGCCCCAGTGCCGAGGCCTCGCCCCCAATGGCTTCCACAACTCCATCATGGCTCCAGTGGAGAAGAGCTCCAGCCTTACCTGCAGCCTGTGAGTGGAAACTCAGGGTGCTCAAGGCTCAGGGGGGTTACAGGGAGCAGTGGGTGTATCCTGGCACAGACGCAAGGATGGAGGAGCACACCCCTCAGGAATGTCGGTGTTCTGCTGGGATGGGGCACAGTTGGTTTGGAAGGGTTGCAGAGGGCAGGGGCTGTGCTGCAGAAGGGTAGGCTGTGCCATGGCATGCAGGTAGGGGTGCTGCTCGTACCGTGGGAGGGGGCTGTGAGGAAGGGGTGCTGGACATGCCAGGTGCAGGGTCATGGCTGAGGTCTGGCATGCACTGCAGGCGGGAGCAGAAGCACTCGCAGTGGGAGTTCCCTGACTGGATTCCAGTGGCACACGGGTGGACGTGTCTCTCTGACAGGTACCCTGGGAGCAGGGAGGGAGCAAGGCCAAAGGAAAAGTGGGGCAGGTCCCAGCAGTGGCTGGGGTGAGCAAGAGAATGGGTGGCCTGTCCTCCCACACTGGTCTGCGTGTCTGCCGTGGGCTTGGGGGTCTCTTGGATTTGGCTGTGGAGCAGCATGGCCAGCAATGCGGCCTGTGTGGAGGCTGGGATCGTGCTGGGGCACGGGGCTGTGCTGGGGTGATTGGGTGAGGGGTGGGGAGAGCTCCTCTCACTTGTACCTGCACAGTGAGGCTGCCCCGTACCTGCCGGCAGAGGAGAAGTCTCCCCTCTTCTCCGTTCAGCGTGAGGGCATCAAGGACGATGGAGCCTTGTACAGGTTGAACAGGTGTGTGATGGGGTGTCCCCAGGCCCAGCAGGCTGTTTGTTGCCTGTCAGGCTGCCCCCTGCCTGGCATGGCAGTGGCTGTCAGGGTGTCCCCAGGGTGTCTGGGACCAGGGGTTATCCCCAAGACTGCATCCATGGCTTCGGCAGCTCGCCCGTACTGTGCCGTGGGGTGCCACCAGCCCCTTCCCCAGAAGCCTTCACCCCTCTCCCACCAACAGGTTCAGCTCTCTGCAGCCCCACCCAGAGCGCCTGGATGTCTCCTTCTTTGTGGGCGGCCCAGTGTGGGCGATGGAGTGGTGCCCGACCCCGGAGGGCTCCGCAGCCCCGCAGTATGTGGCCGTGTCCTGCCACAGGAGCATGGAGGAGACGCACAGTGTGTCTGGGCTTCACTCAGGCCCTGCACTCCTGCAGCTCTGGCACCTGGGCACGCTGCAGATGGAGCAGGGGTGAGTGGCCAGGCCTGGGGCTGGGGCCTGCCTAGATCTTGTGTCCCTCCGTGGCTGCATGGGTGTGAGGCTTGTCCTCTCCCAGAGCCTCCAGCCACAGCCTGAACTCTGAGGAGGCTGTGCTGGTGGCCAGCTCTGCTAGTGGTGTACACTGGAGTGTGTTGGAGCTGCTGGGCACCAGCTGCCATGTAACTCGTGGCTGAACTCATGCCCACAGCTCTCCCAACAAAGCCAGGCTGGCCTATGCCATCGCTGCTGACTACGGCTGTGTGTGGGACATGAAGTTCTGCCCCAGTGGTGCCTGGGAGCCACCCACTGCAGCCCGGATGGTGAGTGCTGCTCAGGGGCTGCCCTTAGATTCCTCAAGAGTTCTAAGAGGCGACCCCATGTCTGAGCCTACCTGTCCATCCCTAGTACCCACAGATGAGCCGGCTGGGCCTGCTGGCCACTGCCTTCTCGGATGGCAGGGTGGTGGTGTATGCCCTGCCGCATCCTGAGGCCCTGCACCACGCCAAGACAACCCAGGTAAAAGGTAGGAAGAGCCACACTGCCAAGCAGGGGCGTCCTGGCCCTCCTCCACCTGTGCCAGGGTGGGACTGCAAGCCCCGGGCTGGGCACCTCTGTCCTTAGGAGCTTGCCATGCTGGGGAGCTGCCAGCAGGATTGTGCCCCAGCCTGGAAGCTGCATGCTGGGCAAGTGAGCCCACCTGATCCCCGGGACTGGGACCCTGCTGCCCTAGTCTGGCATCTCGTACAGTGTAGTGTGGGATCTAAGGGTGCGTTTTGGTGCTGGGGCCTGCTTTGAGTACTCTTGTCTTGGGAGATCCAAGCCCCAGTGCCGAAGCCTTGCTTCCACAATTCCATTGTGGAATTCCAGTGGAGAAGGGCTCCAGCTTTACCCGCAGCCTGTGCGAGCAGAGGCCACGTGCAGAGTGCTGCTTTGGTTCTGTTTCAGGGGTGCTGCAGCAGCCTGGCTGGGATGTAGCTCCTGGGTAGCCCTGGGGAGCTGGGCACTGGGAGGGGGCTCTCAGCAGCGTCACTGTGGCCATGGTGGGGTGCAGGGTGTGATGGTGCAGCCACAAAGTGTGTCCCCAGCCGTTCCCCATCTCCCTGCTGCCAGAGCTGCTCCCTCCAGGCTGGCTGTGCATGTGCTAGGATAGCACAGGGAGTGCTGGGCCAGCTCGGGCTAATGGAGCCTGTAATAGCCGGTGCCGAGCCGAGCGGGATTGATGGCCGGTGCAGGCTGGCGGTGGGCACTCAGCCGTGGCCGGCAGTGGGAAACGGGCTCCCTGAGCCCCCCCGGCGTGCTGGCTGTGCCTGCGCTGCTGCGGGTGGCCGGGCTGCTGCCGCAGCCCCCGTGGCACGTCGTGCTGGGCCCCCCCAGCTCCCGAAGCCCAGCTCATCATTGGCTGCAGCTGCACGCACGGCCACTGCGCCTCACGGCTGGAGCGCTGCTATCCAGCCAAGGATCAGTGCCAGGCTGTGCTGACAGGCCAGACCGGGGGCTCCCAAACTGGGGGGCTGTGCTGGCTGTCCCTGGGGCACTGGGGACCCTCATCCCTGTGTTCCTGCCTGGCAGAGCTGGGGCTGGTCTCCATACTGCATCCTGGCTGTCACAGCTGTGCCGAGGAAGATGGCACAGGTCCTCCTTATCTCCCACCATGACTGCCAGGCTCCAGGCTGTGACGTGCCTGTCTGATGCTCACTGTGGTGGAGGACAGCCCCACACTCGGTCACGAACCCCAGGCCCGACGGATGTGGGACGGGGCCCCACGGCACTCTTGCTGGGGGAGCAGATTCCCTGGTAGACAGAGCTGGTGCATGGTGGTCCTGTGGGTATCCTACCCTGAGCTGTTGGATGTAGGGTCTCTGCAGCCTGCCCTCCCCAGGAGTGCTGCCTGCCTGCTCCAGTCCTGTCAGCCATGGAGCAGATATCCTGCACGGCTGCTCTCTGCCTCCCTGGACTGGTTGGAGTCAGGTCTGGCCCCTGTGTGTCACCGCATCACCTCAGCTTCAGTGCCAGCCGTGGTGGGGCAGGAGTACATCATCTCTGTCTGCAGCATGTTTCAGGGGCTGCTTTCTCCAGCACACGGGCAGGCCTGGCTTCTGGGGGTCCTGCTGCTGCCAGATTGCTCCTTCCTGTGCTTCAGTTCCTGCTGTGCTGGGGAACTGCTCCGGGGGAATTGCAGGACAAGGGCTGGGAGCCCTGGCCAGGGCCATGAGGAGCTGCAATCCAGGCTCCCGGCAGGGAGCTCCCAGGACAGCCAAAGCCTGCCCTGACCCCCTTCTGCTCTCTTCTAGATGGGTCCCTCCACAAGCACCTTATCTGCAAGGTCAGTGTTCCCCACCATGTGATCCCTGTCAGGGCCGGCACCTGGCGAGCCCCCGGCAGTGCAGGTGGCAGAGCCTGGGGAGCCAAGGCACCTGCAGAGTGTTGGAGGGGCAGAGCAGTGCCATGCTCCCACCCCGGGCATCCCGCTGTTGGGGCATGGATGGCTCCGGGGCAGGGCTGTGACCGAGGGCTCTCCCTTGGCCCCCAGGTGCAGTGCATTGCCACACTTCAGGTGGGCTCCATCCAGGCAGGTAATGCATCTGAGTGTGGACAGTGCTTCAGTCTCTCCTGGATGCCTTGCAAGCCCCACCATCACCTGGCAGCAGGGTTTTATGATGGTGAGTCTCTTTGTGTGCCCTGCAGCAGCACTCAGGGAGCAGCCCTCACCCTGGCACAGGCACTGGACCCTCAACTGCTCAGTCTCAACTGGTGCTGGAACCTCTCTGCCCAGCCCTGGGTCAGGGGAAGGCTTCTCTGGGCTGGCTGTTGTCATTCTGACATACTTCCAGGCTGGTCACTGGTCATCCCTGTCTGTGGCTCTGGGCTTATCCTCATCTGTTGAACTTGCCTGGATAGAATTTTCTGCTAGGCTTGCAGTGATCCACAGCTCTGTGCTGTGTTGCCAGGACCTGCTGCCATGCTGTCTGCTTGGAGTCCCAGCTCCAGCCTGGCCACCCTGTTCCTGTGGCCCTGCCTGTGCTGCTGCTGTGTTCTGCCTCTGTCCTGTCCTGCTCTCAGCCCCAGCCTGGCTGCTGTGCTCTGCAGCTCCCGCAGCCCTGCCTGTGCTGCTGCTGGTCCCCCGCTGAAGCACCTGCGCCCTTGGCAGTGCCTCATGGACACAAGTCTTTCCACAGGCACTGTGGCGGTGTGGAACCTGCTCACCAAATCCCTGCTGCAGTGCGTGCACCAGCCTGATGCCTCCATCAAGCTCTACCCTTTCCAGTGCTTTCTAGCCCATGACCAGGCAGTCCGGAGCATTGAGTGGTGCAAAGCTGACAGGTGAGGGCAGGAGCAGGCACAGATGCTGCCAGGAGAGGAGCTTCCTCCTGCAGAAGAAGCTCTTTTGTCAAGAAGGGCTTGAGAGGCCATGGTGCCAATGGCACTTGGCCCTCTGCAGCACCACAGAGGTTGGGTTGGGCTTTCCAGGGTGAGGGCAGTTGAGGCACTGCGAGACTGGGGCCACCTGAGCCCTGTGGTGGGCCAGGGCAGGGCTCCGTGCTGGGCTCTCAGTGCTGCCTCTCCTGCTTCTCAGCAACTTCCTGGTCACGGTGGGCAGCGATCGCAAGATCAAGTTCTGGGACCTGCGGCGGCTCTACGAGCCCATCAACAGCATCAAGCGGTTCCTGAGCACTGAGGTGGCCTGGCTGCTGCCCTACAATGGCATCACTGTGGCCCAGGACAACTGCTATGCCCCGTGAGTGCTGGGGGCCAGTCCTGCTGCCAGGGCCTGGTCCAGTTTCCCAGGGGTCCCTCTGGCTTCCCCCTCCCTGGGACTGTCCAGCTGTGCCATGGCAAGGGCAGGCTCTGCTTGTCTTGTGTCACACTGCAGCAGCAAAGCGTGACATCCCCTCTGCCATGCCTCCCTGAGACAGAGGCAGGGTGGGCCAGGGGATGGCCTGGGCAACAGGTGTGCTGCTGAAGAGGTTTGGGAACTCAGTGAGTTCTTGGCCTCTGGGAGCTGCCTTGCCTCTGCTTGCTCTTGACTCTCTGACATGCTGCTGGAACAAGAACGGCCCCATCACCCTGGGCCAGTTCTGTGGGGAGGTGGGCTGTGCCTGGCTCTCGCGTTCCTGGTGACAGCAGAGTCGGATGTCCCAGGCCTTATTCTGTCCCTTCCACCGCAGGTATGGGCTCTGTGGGATCCACTACATCGACGCTGGGTATCTGGGCTTCAAGGCCTATTTCGTGGCCCCTCGCAAGGGCACCGTGTGGGTAAGGGCCAGTGCAGGGCCGCTCTGTCCCAGTGGCCGGGTCAGCACCAGCTGGGGCCCAGGGCTTGCGGGCGGGGTGACACTGCCTGGCTTGGGGTGGTGGGAGCCCCCTGCCCTCCAGCCCTCTGTCCCTGCAGAGCATCTCTGGCTCAGACTGGTTGAACACAGTAGCTGCGGGTGACATCACCGGTGAGCTGGTGGCAGCGGTGCTGCCTGACCTGGCTGTCAACCCCCTCAACATCAAGCGCTCCTCGGACCGCAGATTTGTAAGAGACCATCGCGCTCGGGAGGCCCAGCCCAGCACACGGGGCTGGCGGGGGCAGGGGGACCATAGGAAAAGTGTCCTGGTCTGCTATCCCACTGGTCCCTGGTGGTCCTTGTCTGCAGAGGAGCAGCAGGATCTGTGTCTGCCCTGCCCTGAGCCGCCTCTCACCCACAGCCGGTGTACAAAGCTGACCTGCTGCCATGCAACCCTGAGGGGCCTAAGCGCACCGAGCAGGCCCTGCCCAGGACCCAGCGCTACAGTGAGATGGTAGCCAGGAGCTACATCCGATTCCAGGACACGGACCTGGTAGGAGAGGACGGGGGGCAGCCAGGGTCCGACCCATGAGCAGCACTTCTGGGGCTGTGGCTGGGCAGTGGGGGTGGCAGGGCCGGGAGATGCTGCTGGGGCGTGGGGGCAGCCCCTTACCTCCGGCAGGGCTGAAGTGATGGTGCCTGCGATGCTCCTGCCTCGGGCCCGCAGCCCAAGGTGGTACCACCACTTTCCAGCGCAGTTTCCAGAACTTCCCGAGCCGGGAGCCCATGCGCCGGATGCACACGCAGGAGCTGAAGGCAGAGCTGAGCCTGGACCGCCTGCAGCTGGAGGCACTCCACAAGGTGAGTTGGCCAGTGTGAGCCCAGCCCAGCCCTGTGCTCAGCTGGCTCTGTTCAGCTCTGGGGGCTGCGGTCCCAGCGCCCCAGCCCGTCCCTTAGGAACTCCTCTCTTCCCACAGGTGCGCTTCAGCCCCAACCTGGACTCGCAGGGATGGCTGGTGTCGGGCGGGCAGGCGGGCATTGTGCGGGCCCACTGCCTGGTGGGGCTGGCCTCTGGCGTGAGCCACCAGCTGCTCCCAGAGTGCCAGGCCCGCTTCAGCGTCCTCTATGGGGACACACCCAGCAGCCCTGCCCCCTCTGAGCCCTCCCTGCTGCCGGCAGAGTAGGGCACCAGTCCCTCACGCTGCTGCCGTGTGCTCATCCTGGGCAGGGCTTGGGGCTAGGGCCAGCTGTGCTGGCATGGGGCTGTGGGCCCTCTTGGTGCTGCTTTCCTGATGGGTGTCTGCTGCAGGAGGGACGGCTGCTCCCAGCCATTCCCTGGGATGCTCTGGACATTTGTCCTTGTGCTTTGGGCCTGCAAGGGTCTGTGTGCACTGTTTGGTCTGAGCTGGGCAGGGGTAGTGGGACTCGTGCGTGTCCCAGGACTGAGCTGTAGGTCTGACCCTGCAGAAGCCCCTGTGGGCTCCACCAGCGTGGAGCTGTGCTTGTGCTCGCTTCCATCCCCACTGAGTGCCGGAAGCTGGGGAAGGGGCCAGGAGCTGTGGAGTTGCTCACATTGAGCTTGTGTTCAGCTGTGCAGAATAAATGTGGTTGGTTTTGTATGGCTGTGGTGGCACTGGCACCGGGGTGGGCCTGGCTGGTAGCTGTGGCTGTAGGGGCCCACCCCCAGCTCCACCATTTCCCTTCCCATGCCCCTCTGTCTGCTGCACTGCTACTGCTGCTCCAACACATTTATTGGCAGCGCTGGCACCGCTGCTGGCACAGATGGACGGATGGACACCAGGGGCACAGGCACGACTCAGCAGAGGGAATGGATTGGGGCCAGGCACAGCAGGATTCAGACAGAGCCCAGGCAGCAGCACAGGGGGCTGAGGCCAAGGCCAGGTCTGAGGTCCCCCATGGGGGATGTCCCTTCCTGCCAGGACAGACGGGCTCCTGGGGACCGGGTGGTTGGGCAGGATTCCACTTCCTCAGGAGCTGTGGCACAGCAGGGAGTGGAAGATTCCAGGGGGCCCCTGTGCCAGGCCAGGCCATGTGTCCATTCCTCCAGGACACCACACTGTAGTCACTGTCCCACTCCAGGGCTCCGCAGCGGTGGGGTGGGGAGAGGGGGAGATGGGATCTCAAGCACTGCCCTGCTCTAGCACAAGGAGCTGGGGCCAGGGCTGCATCTGGCCCAACGTAGAGCGGGTGGGGGTCTCAGGTTCGGGGGTCCTGGCAGTGGGGACAGCCTGCTGACTCCTCCTGGTGCTGCTCCACCTGTACTGTGCACAGGGCAAAGCCAAACCTGCTCTGGAGCAGGGCAGTGACCTCCTGCAGCACCGTCTCGGCGTCAGTGCCAGCATCTAGGAGCAGCAGGGCAGGGGCTCATTCTTGGCATGGCCAGTGGGACCCCCAGCCACGCCCTGTGCGGGTCACTCACCCACGGCCACGTGCACTGACACGGCGGGGTGGCTCAGCGTCAGCGCCCAGAGATGCAGGTCATGGACGCCCCGCACCCCGCTGGCCCCCAGCAGCACCTCCTTCACCGCATCGAACTCCAGGCCCCGCGGTGTCCCTGCCAGCACCACCTGGTCACACGGGGCCACCCGTGGCCCACAGACATCGCGCCCACCTGGGTGAGGGCTCCCAGTGGAAGCCACTGGGGCTGGTATCTTCCCCAGGGGAACTAGGCTGGGCATGGTGGCTTTGGGGTGAGACAGGCCTGACCTTGGGGCCTATGCACCTGGCTGCGGTGGAGAGGAGGAACTGGGGGTATTTGGGTGGGCCAAGGGAGACACAGAGGAGGCGAGCTGCCTCGTGGGCTAAGTGCTGTGGCAGATGAAGCTCCAGGAGCTCCTGTGCCCACCCTGCACCTGTGCTCTCACACCCCTCTCACTCACTGCTCACCTTCCATGAGGACCCTGAAGACGTCTCTGAGGATCGTGATGGTGGAGCCAAGGACGAAGACTGAGAAGAAGAGGGTGCTGATGGGGTCTGCAATCTTGCACTGAGGCTGCGGAGAGCGGGTCTCTGTGAGGCTGGGGGCAAACCCCCGTGGCACCCTGCGTGGGAGTGGGAGAGCTGCTCCCACAGGCAGCACTGGGGCAGTCCAGCCCGGGCACCTTGAAATAGATGATGGTGGCAGCCACGAGGACGCTGATGCTCTGCAGCAGGTCACCCACCACGTGGACAAAGGCTGCCCGCACGCTGGTGCTGCCAGGCAGGGGGCTATGGCTGGGCTGGCAGGCCACAGAGCTCTCCAGCTGCTCATAGGCCCCTGGGCCATGGCCATGGCCAGCAGGGGACTGGTGCAGGATGTAGGCCATGCTGGAAAGAGCAGGGCTGGCTCAGTGCCACACTGACAGGGCATGGGGGCCCTGCTGGCCCTGCTTGGGCAAAGGGGGCACAGGCAGTCACATCTGGGTCTTGGGACAGTGGGACAAGTGGGGTTGGAGGTGCAGCAGGGCTGGAAGATGTGCAGGAACAGGGCAGGGGTTTGGTCCTGGGGCTTGTGACAGGGCTTGAGAGGCACTGCTTGGGGGACCAGGGAATGTGGGGTGTGGGGATGTAGGCACATAGACTGGAAGCCCTGAGCATATGGGGGACAGGGCTGGCAGTGCCTGGGGACACAAGGCTGGTGCACAGGGACATAAAATGACATGGGGGCACAGTTGTGGTCCTTAGGGTCCCAGGGCCATAGCGGGGCAGGACTCAGGCTGATGGGGCACAGGGACCAAGGGTGCACACGTGGGACATACACCAGATTGACGCCAACGGCACAGGCAGATGTGGCCAGCATGGCCTGTGCCTCGATCTCGTAGTCATTGCTGATGATGCGGGCGGCTGCCAGATAGACCAGGGCTGCGGTCACAACCCAGATAGAGAGGACAGAGGCCAGCGCACCCAGTGTCTCTGTGGGATGAGACCCATCAGCACCCAACCCGGCCATGGGGGTCCCCCAGGGCCACACAGGGCCGTCCCCCGCAGCTCACCTGAGCGGTGCCAGCCAAAGGTCATGGTCTTGGTGGGTGGGCGGTTGGAGACCCAGAGGGAGAAGAGGCTGACGGACATGCTGCCCACATCTGTCAGCAGGTGGGCTGCATCCGTCATGATGGCCAGGCTGTGTGCCAGGTACCCACCTGTGGGCACAGAGCAGCTGGTACCCCACGCCCTGCTGGCAGCCCCCCACCCCGGCCCAGCCGCCGTTACCTATCACCTCCCCGACCATGAAGAGACAGCAGACAGCACAGGCGACGCTCAGCTGCCGGCGGGCCTGGAGCCTGCCCTGCCCGGGGCTGGGGGTCGGGGGGCTGCAGCGGCAATGGGGATCTGGAGCCTGGGGAGCCGCCAGTGCTGAGGGGTCTCGAGAGCCTGTGAAGAGACTGGGGGCGGGGGTCACTGCCGGCAACACCGGCTCGGGTGCTCCTGCCCAGAACCCCCAAGTGTCCTGCTACCGCCTGGTGGTGTGCAGGCAGTCGGTGGGGCACCGGCGGAACCCCCTGCAGCGGGACGAGCAGCCATAGCACCGGCGGCAGCAGCAGGAGGCGGCGGCGCGGGGCCCCCGCCGGAACCGAAGACGGGACTGGTGCGGGTACCCGCGGGGAGGTGCATTGGGAGCGATGTGTTGCGCCTGGGGCCAGACTGCGGGACGGGCCACCGGTGCGGAGACGTGGGGCGTGGGGAAGGGGCGGCGGGGACCGAGGTCCTGGTGCGTGGGGCAGCAGTGCGGGAGCGGGGGCGGACAGCCCACCGGGACGGGGGCTAACGGATGAACGGTACCGGTGTGGGCGGGTGATGGATGGATGGTACCGGTGTGCGTGGGTGACGTTCGGGCACCGATAGGTGCGGGACGGACACCCGAAAGGGGAGCGAGGCTGGCGCATGGTGGGGCCGGTTCCTCTTGAGCGGAGGTGCCGGTGGCGGGGTGAGCGTGCCGGTGGCGGGGTGACGGTGCAAGTGGCGGACGGTCAGGGCTGGCGCGGGGACTGCGGAGTTGCCGGTGTCCGTTCGGATGGATGAAGGCACGGGGGCGGGCGGGAAGGGACGTGCCGGGGGTGCCGGTGTCGGGGGTGGGAGCTGCGCGGAGCGCGACGTGCCGGGGGCTTGCGGGTGCCGGAGGAGCTGAGGGCGATGGGGGCGAGCAGGTGGCGGCAGCGCGGGCGCGGGAGGACCGAGGGTGGCAGATGCGGGAGATAATGGAGGTGGCGGTGCAAGGAATTGCCGGGGCCCCGGGGAGGTGATGGGGTGCGGGGGGTGGTGATGCCAGGGTAATGGGGGTGCCGATGTATGTAATGGGAGTACTAGCGCCGGTAATGGGGTTGTCGGGACGATGGTGTGCTGGTGCTGATGGAAGTGCCAGGGTGGTGACTGGAGTGTCAGAGGTGCCGGGGCGATGGAGGTGCCGGTGATGGGAGCGCCGGTGATGGAAGTGCCGTCGGTGCCGGAGGCGCCGGTGATGGAGTTGTGCTGGCGGTGGCGGGGGTGCCGGGGTGATGGGATGTCAGGGCGATGGGTGCTGGTGATGGATGCCGGGGCGATGATTGCCGGTGCCGGCGGTACCTCTTGAGGCGCAGGCTGCCGTCGGCGCGGCCGCCCCGCGGGCTGACCAGGCGGGCGCTCTCGGCGTCGGTCGGGGGCTCCATCCCGGGAGCGAGCGGCACCGCGGACACCGGCACCGCGGACACCGGCACCGCCGACACCGGCACCGCCGAGCCCCGCCCCTGCCGTGACTCCGCCCCAGCCGCCGGGCCCGCCCACACGCCGGTGGTCCCTCCCGCGGCGCCGCCGTTCCGGGCTCGGGGGCGGCCGCGGCTGGGTGCGAGGGGCCGCTCCGGTGTCGCGGTCCAATGGATCTCCGGGAGCTGTGTGTAAGGGACGCTGCTGTCACCGGGGAAGCTCAGCCTCACCTCCTGTCCCTGGGCAGGTGACGGCACAGCTGATCCTGAACGCCGTCTGAGGACGGGAAAGGACAGACTGGACGGGAGCTGGAGAGAAGCCGGCACCGATGGGGATCGTGCCTGACCGTTCGGATCACCTTCCGCGGTGCAATGCCGGAGCCGGTGAACCAGGGGAGTTCAGGGGACAGTGTCTGCCCAGGCTGCAGGAAGGCTTGTGGCGCTGTACCTCTTGGGATCCAACGGCAGAAGTGTTGGGAGCATGGGCTGGAAGAGTCGGGAGCGGCTGCGTTGGACCGGGGCTGTATGGCCGAGCCCAGAGCAGGGTGTTCAGCGGCCGGTAATGAGCAGTGTACCCCGGGGTTAGTGCTGAGTCCAGCCCCGTCTATCGCCGCCTTTAGGGACCTGGAAGCCAGGCAGAGCACGCTCAGCACGGTGACAGATGGCACCGACCGTGCTGCTCCGTAGTGCGGAGAGATTCGGGATGTGCTGCAGAGACGGGGGCAGGAGCCTGGGTAGGGTCGGCACTGGGCAGTGCCGGGTCCTGAGCGGGGAGGAACGATCTCAGGACGGGTAGGGGGCAGCCGCAGAAAAGGCTCCAGGGGTCCTGGGAGACATCCGCGGTAGACTATGAACCAACAACGCACCCTTGCCGTGTCCTGAACACCACCCCGAGGCACGGGGCCCAGCGCTGTCCCCCCAGGACACGAGGGACAGGGACAAGCTGGGGACAGCCCGCCAAGCAGCCTGCGGTGCTGCAGGGCTGCAGCGTCTCTGCCGGGGTAAGGCTGAGGGAGCTGCAGCTGCTGAGCCCAGAGCAGAGCGGGCCCGGGGATCGCTGGTGTGACACCTGCAGGGAGGGCTCTGCGGGTGAGCTCAGCGCGGGTGAGCCCCAGGTGAGCCCCAGGTGAGCCCGGCCCGGGTGAGCCCCGCGCTCAGGGGCGGGGCCTAGGTCAGGGGCGGGGTCTAGAAGAGGAGCGGGGCTCGGTTATGGGCGGTGCCTGTGCTGGGGCGTGGCCTCAGAGGGCGTGGCCGCACTCGGGGGCGGGTCCCATCGGGGCGGGGCTCCGGCCGGGGCGGGGCCTGTTCCCCGCGCCGCGCACCGCCCGAGCCGTCCCGGCAGCCCCCGCGGCCGCGCGGCGATGGCGGCAGCGGGCGCGGAGGAGCGGCGGGGGGCGGCGGGGCCGGAGCGCGGCCCCGGCCCCGGCCCGCTGGGCTCGCTGCTCAGCCGCCTGCCGCTGGCGCCCGCCGCGGCCCCACGGCGCCGCACCGCCAGCCAGTGCAAGCCGGAGCCGCCGCTGCTGCGCACCAGCAAACGGACCATCTACACGGCCGGGCGGCCGCCCTGGTACAGCGAGACCGGCGCGCCCGTAGATGAGGCCTTTGTCATCGGTGAGCGGTGGGACGGGGCCGGGGAGGGGATGGAGCCGGAGCCGAGACCGGGCTGGGGAGGGGATGGAGGCCGGACCGGGACCAGGGCCGGGCTGCAGTCGGAAATCGTGGAACGAATCCCCGAGGAGCGGCCGAGGAGGGGCTGGGGCCGGGCTGCAGCCGGATCCGGGGCCGTGACGGATCCGGGCCGGGGCGGTGCCCCCGCCGCTCCCCGCAGGCCTGTGCGGCGGCAGCGCCTCCGGCAAGACCACGGTGGCGACGCGGATCATCGAGGCGCTGGACGTGCCCTGGGTCGTGCTGCTCTCCATGGACTCCTTCTACAAGGTGCGGGACGGGTGGGCGCTGAGCTGTGCCGGCACTCGCTGTTCCGTGTACCGCTGGGTGCTGCTGGTGCTCCCGGGATCGGCCCCGGGCAGGGCTGCGGTGCCTGTGGATGCCGGGATCCCGAGCAGTGCTCGCTGCTGGCCCCGGGCCGGGCCTCCTGCACGGCGCTGAGCCGTGCCGGTGCCTGCAGGTGCTGGATGAGGGGCAGCAGGCGCTGGCAGCCCGCAGCGACTACAACTTCGACCACCCCGATGCCTTTGACTTCGAGCTGCTTGTCAGTGTCCTGCGCAAACTCAAGAAGGGCAAGAGCGTGAAGGTGCCGGTGTACGACTTCACCACACACAGCCGGCGCCGCGAGTGGGTGGGTGCCGCAGGGGCCGGCCCGGGCTGGCAGGGTCCCGGGAAAGGGGAGCCCCTCTGGGCCCTGCAGGGCCTGGAAGGTAAAGGGAGGGGACAGCTGGGGGTCACTGGGAGCAGGGGATTCATTCTGGGGAGACTCTGGGTGAATGTGCAAACAGGCCAGTGCAGATATGAGGGAGGGACTCAGTGTGGAGAGGTGCTAGGAGGACAGTATTGAGCAGAGCCTTGGGATCTAGAGCAAGGTTTAGGGTCTGTCCTGGACTGAAGCATCATGCACAGGGATGAACTATGGCTCCAAATCATTGGATGCTGCAGGACAGTTATGGGGAGCCCCAGCACAATGGTGAGACCCCAGGGGGACAGTGCTCTGTCTGTGTTGGTGCTGCCGTGGCATGTGAGAGAAATAGGACAAACCCAGCTCCTGTCTGCCTGCAGAAAACAGTGTATGGGGCCAACGTCATTGTGTTTGAAGGGATCCTGGCCTTCGCCAACAAGGAGCTGCTCAAGGTATCGCTGCCTCAGGTGTCTGCTGGTCCCAAGGGGATGTGCTGCAGCAGGACAGGCACTGGCCCTGGGTGCCACTGCAGCAGTGGGGGCTGTGGAGGGAGAAGTTACCACGCTTGTGACAGAGCGCTATGTGTCAGAGGCCTCAGGGAGGGGATGCTGGGTGCCACTGCGGGGTGGTGGAGGGGAATAACACAGGTGTGATGAGAGCTGCATAGGGGGTGCTCACCCCTCCCAGTTTTCCAGCTCCTGGACATGAAAGTGTTTGTGGACACGGACTCCGACATCCGTCTGGTGCGGCGGCTGCAGCGCGACATCATGGAGCGCGGGCGCGATGTTGCAGGGGTCATCAAGCAGTACAACAAGTTTGTGAAGCCAGCCTTTGAGCAGTACATCGAGCCCACCGTGCAGGTTGCCGACATCGTGGTGCCCAGGGGTGAGGCCAGAGCTGACCCTGGCTTTGGGAGCGGGTGCTGTGGGGCAGGAGTGGGTCAGCGTCCACCCCATCTGCCTCCTCTGCTCCACTCTCAGGTGGGGAAAACTTCGTGGCACTGGACCTCATTGTGCAGCATGTGCACAGCCAGCTGGAAAAGGTGAGCCAGGGGTGATGAGGAGGAGGGTCCTGCATGTAGAAGGCAGGACATGGCTGCACACAGACGTGTGTTCTTGGAGCACCTGAGGGGGCTCTTGACATCACCTGTCTCTTCTCAGAAGGCCCCAGCACGGTGCTTGGGAAGCTGATCTGTGAAGTGGGCACGGGGGAGGAGGGTGGGGAGCCATGTAGGCTGTTGTGGTGGCTGTGCTGGCCTGTGAGTGACTGACAGGGTGTCCTTCCTGTTCCCCTGTGCTGCGCCGGTGACCTCTCCACCACCCAGCGGGAGATTACAGTCAGGTACGTGGGGCCCAGGCTGCACAGGGGCCTGTTCGGGCTAGGGGGTCTGCTGGCACCCCCTGGGTTCCAAGTCTTACTGCCTCCGTGTCCCTGCTGGCCGAGCTTTGCTGAGGTGCCTGAGCGTAGCTGCTCCTCTCCAGCGCTGCAGAGGCTGTGCTCAGCTCCTTAGGGCCTGTCACAGCTCTGGGCTCTATGTGACACATCCCACACTGTGGCTGATGCATGTGGCCAGCTCCCTGTCTTGGTCCTGTCCCTCTCTGGAGCAGGACTGCTGTCCTGGCTGCTGAGTTACCCTGGGCTGTTCAATTCTGTGGGAGAAGTGCCCTGCATGGTCCCTGTTCCTGGCAGTTCATGCCTCATTTCAGCAGGATATTTCAGCTTGTCCCTTGTGGTGCACAGCCCAGTCCCAGGGTGCATGGGAATGTCCTGCAGAGCTGCAGATCCTGCTGCTGGCCAAGGCTGGTGCTGCAGAGGCTGCAGAGTGTGTGGTCTGGGAGGTTCACCCCAGTCTGTTTGGGTAATCTGGCTCTGGGGTACCAGACTTGGGGCATTCTTCAGGATCCAGGCGGGAAGGCCAAGCACGGTGCTGACCTTTCAGAGGGGTTCTTCTAGAGCCTTCCTTGGCAGGGTCATGTCCCTCCAGGGGCCCAGTGCTGTGAGTGTGCGTGTGCTGCACAGCTCTGAGCGCCTTCCTCACTGCAGGGCAGCCCTGGCCTCCGCCCACCAAGGACAGCCCCTGCCAAAGACACTGAGCGTCCTGGAGAGCACGCCGCAGGTTCGGGGCATGCACACCATCATCAGGTACATCCCTGCCCCAGGCCCCTGCTCTAGGCTGGTTGGTGGGATCACACCACAAAGCCTGGGGTGTTTTTCCCTTTTGCCCGTGGGACCTCAGTCGTGGTGGTTGGCCTGGAGCAAAATAGCTGAATGGAGCTAGCCCTGGCCCCGTGGGCACTTCTCTGGTGACCAGATCTCTGCATATCTGCTTGGGGTGATTCCTGAGCCAAAGGCAGGCTTTTCCTACAATGGGAAGGGACTGGTTGGCTCTTTTCTCACATGTGGAGCAACTGGTGACATGGAGCAAGGTACCCCTTGCCCCTCTCCCAGGGCACTTGGGTTTAGAGCTAGCTTAGAGAAGGGACCTGGGCAGCTGCTTCTATGACTTCACCACTCTTGATCTTTTCTTTCCCCTCTGATGCTCCTTTTTTCCAGGTGACAGTAGCATCAGTTAGTGAAGGGTCAAGGGCTGAGGCCTTTAGGACTACGGAGAGGTTAATTGTTTTTGCAGCTGCAGAACCTGGCAGCTCCCAGGTGTGTTTTTCCAGAGCAGAGGGGATGTGGAGCTCAGTCAGGTCCTCCTATGCCTTTCATGCTGTGACTGCTATGGCAGCTGTGTGTTGGTTGGGAAGGTGTCAGCTCATGTCCTTGGGAGAGACCTGGAGAGAACTGAGTGCACTTTCAGTAAGCTTGCAGAGGATACCAAGTGGGGTGGGATGTGGATCTGCTGGAGAGCAGGAAGGCTCTGCAGAGGGATTGGGACAGTCTGGATTGATGTGATGAGACCAGCGGCATGAGGGCCAACAAAGCCAAGTGCCAGATCCTGCCCTTGGGTCACAACAACCCCATGAAGCACTCCAGGACGAGGCAGAGGGGCTGCAAAGCTGAAAAGGCCATAGGAGTGTTGGTCAAGAGTGGCTCAGCATGAGTGTCTATGTTTGGAAAGACAGGTGTCTGCTAAGGAAGGCAGGAGCCTCCCCTGGAATGGAAAAATGTAGACCCCCTCCCTCTGAATTGTTATAAATTTGAAATTAAGGAGGGGCTCTCAGGCAAAAATATGGGAGCAGGAATAACAGTTCTTTATTAGGGAAGAAAATAAAAAGATAAACAATGCAGTGAACCAAAACAACACTGACAGAGTCAGAATACAACCTGACACCCAGTTGGACAGGGTGTTGGCTGCAGTCCAATTAGGAATTACGGCTGTAGTCCTCCTGGAGTGTCAGGTGTGGTTCTCTTGGAGTAGTGATCTTGTAGGAAAAGGGTATAGTCTTCCTCTGAAGAGGCAGTGGAAGAGGCAGCTGCTCCTCTGGGAAATCCAGTGCAGAAAAAGCTGTGCTGGTGGGCCAGAATCTCAAGATTATATCCAGTTAGGAATGCTTGGCTTCTTCCTCTGGGCAGAGCATCTCACAGTGGGATGTTATAGCTTTTATTAGTCATGCAGTGACGTTCAATGGCCCATTATCAGCAGATGTCTCCCCTAAGGGAGGATTGGTTGTGGAAGAGCTGAGGAAAAACTGCCCACTTAAGACAAGACAACTGCCAAACAGATGGCAAATGGAATACATCTTGCTTTTCAATCTGGGACAATGAGCCCAGGTGGGCTAGTGCCAGTGGCACCTGGGCTGTCCCAGCTGGGCACTGCTGGGGCACCTTCTGTCTTGGGGACAATTCTGGGCCCTTCCTGATAAGAGAGACATGGAGGGGCTGGAGCATGATCAGAGCTGGGGAAGGGGCTGGAGCCCTAGGAGGGGCTAAGGGAGCTGGGAAGGGACTCAGCCTGGAGAAAAGGAGGCTCAGGGGGCACCTTCTTGTTCTCTATAGCTTCCTGACAGGAGGATGCAGCCAGGTGAAAGTCACGCTCTGCTCCCATGGAAAAAGGGACAGATCAAGAGGAAACTGCCTCAGTCTGCTCCAGAGGAGATTGAGGTTGGATATTGAGAGCAGTTTCTTCATGGAAAGGGTTTTCCAGCCTTAGCACAGCTGCTCCAGGTAGTGATGGGAGTCTCCATCCCTGGTGGAATTTAGAAACCACGTGGATGTGGCACTTGAGGGTGTGGGCTAGTGGTGGCCTTGGCAGTGCTGGGGGAGCAGCTGAACTTGATTTCAAAGGGCTTTTCCAACTAAAACAATTTAAGATGTTCTGATACTCATGACCACATACAGGCTGGCCACCTCCTTTCCTTCTCCTGACTCCTTCCTCCTGTGGAAGCACAGGCTCCAATACAGATCAGGCAGTCAAACAGGTGATGTGGCACCTCAGGTGTGCCAGGCAGAGCCCTGTGCCAGTGCTTGTGTCCCTCCCCTGGGCTGTGGCTCCACCTTTATACCACAAGTGCTTGATGACCTTAATCTGCTGAGGCTCAGGGCTGTGCTAGGCTGCCCTGGGGCTGCAGGGCTGTGGCACCATTGGCCTCACATGGCTGTGCTGATGCGATGTGGGAGCAGGGCCAGGGGTGGTGGGGAGGCAGCTGAGCCCATTCCAGATGGTCTAAAAGAAATGCCACTTTTCTGAGGAGCATCGACTCAGCCTGTCAGCTGCCCCCTGAAATCCTGCTGCGCCAGCGCCTTTCCCAAACCTCTGAGCTGAGGAGCTCGGCTGAGTGTGTGTGTTAGGGGACAGCAAAGCAGTATTTGTTTCTGGTGAGACTTGGGGGCACTACTTGGCTTCTGTGTCACTTGGACATGGCATGGGGCTGTTGCTGGTCACCACATGTGGCCCTCTACTCCCAAGGTGCTGTTTTTTCCTCCTGCCCTTTTCTTGGGTTCTCAGAGAGCTCCAGGCTGGTGAGAATCAAACACACCTCTAGCCACATTTTGTGCACCTCTATGTGCAGAGTTATTGCATCTTGGCAGATCTGTCTCTTTATTAAATGAATCCTACTGTGGTTTGGTTCCTGCTGCTGCAGTGCTCATGGAGTGCTGCTGCTCCCTCCAGCACAGCCTTTCCAAGTGCCTGGACATGTCCAGCCTGGCACCTGCACCACTGCAGAGCTGTGAGCCAAGATTCTTCTCCCTCCTTGTCCTGTCTGGTGTTTCCCAGTGCACTCTCTGGGATGTCAGTCCTGGCATGCTAGCCAGCACTATTCCCTGTCGTTCCACACTGGAGGCTCCTCACACTCACCCGTCTGTCTGCTGGGAGGGTGTTGGTGGCAGCAGATGAGCATCGTGGTGGCAGATCCAGGCTGGCATCCGGGGAAAGCACTTTCTGGAGCAATTTTCTGCTGTTGTGGAGAGACAGAAACTGAAAACTGGTCCCACACTAGAATAGCTGCACAGTTTGAGTCATGAGGCTGAGAATAGATGGAGTAAGAAGGATGCAGTGTCAGGATGAGGACTGGTATCCCATTGCCAGAGGGCGTGTTACATGAGATGCTGGGCAGAAGTTCTTCCATGAGGGTGGTGAGGGTCTGCCACAGGTTGCCCAGGAGATCTGGGTGCCCCAAGGGCAGGCTGGACACAGTTTGGGGGAGCCTGGTCTAATAGAAGGTGTAGCTGCCCATGGCAGGGCGGTGGGACAAGGTGACCTTTAAGGTCTCCTCCTGACACAAAGCATTCTGGGATTCTGTAACCCATTCATGGCCAGATTTCCCAGTGCCTGGCTGTACCAGCTGGCTCTCAGCTGCAGTCAGTCCAGTTCATGCACGGAGCTGATGCTGTGATCAGGCCCCAGGCAGATGCTCCTGGTCCCTCTGTCCTCTCCTGAGCATGCTAGGGAAGGCTGAGATCGTCAGGAGCACCAGCTGCAGTGCTGCCCTGCCCAGCTGCAGGCTCCCAGTGTGCTGCAGTGTGCTGAGGTTCATCTGCCTCCTCTATGGATAGGAGCAGTGTGTTTCCTCCGGCTTCACCCAGGCACTGATGCTGTGGGGTGAGAGGACTGCTCTGGGGACAGCGATGGCCCCTTAGGCAGTGCTCTGCCCACTGAGGAGGTGGGATGGTGGCACTGATGAATCCTGGTAACCTCCTGCTGCCCGGCATGTCCGGGGTGCCCTCCCTGGCACAGCCCTTCCCCCTGCCCTGCTTGTGCCCTGGGCAGGGAGAAGCTTCATGGTTGTGTGTGCACTGGGGTTCCCCAGGAGTGCCCCGTCCCCAGAGGAACCTGCCTCTGTGGGAGCAGTGTGGGGCCTCTCCCACCCAGCCCTGCCAGTGTGGGTCTCAGTGGGGACAGCTGGCTGGGACAGGCTGCAGTGGAGGCAGGGAGGCTGCTGAGCTCGTGCTGCTCCTGTGGGTGGATGTGTGGGTGCAGACCACCCGTGAGTGCTTTCTGACAGCTCATGCTGGGAGCTGTAGGCAGGGTCTTCCAGACCAGAACTGGTTTTTCTGCCTTCCTTGGAGGTGTTGGCTGTGCCCAGGGGTTTGGAAATGTCTGTGTGCCATGGTCACTGCAGATGCTCAGCTGTGAGTGACCCTGGAATGGCTGCAGGAACACACAAGGACAGCAGTGATTGTTCATCCTCCTCCAAGTGCCTCAGTGGGGCTGTCATCCACCAAGGTGTAAAAAATGGCAGATGATGTCTTAAAACATAGAGTAAAAATATTCAGTATCCTTCTGCCTCTTCTGGAGTGTTGCCAGCTCCACTTCCATCTGGGAACAGGCAGGTGTCTGTGGGGCTTCTTTATCCTCATGTTCCCCACGAGGCTGGTGGCCAGGGTACTCCTAGTAGGAAAAGTCATCTACCTTCCCTCTTCTGTGGGGTTAGTGCCCTGCATTCAGGTCTGGCTTTACCCCTCCTGGGGAAGGGGAGAGGTTTCCTGAGAATTGCAGCCCCATAGCAGCTTTGTTCTGCTTTGTGTTTGTTTTACATCTTGGTGCCTTCAGTACATCAGAGCTGTGAAAAGGGCACAATGGGTATTTCAGAGTCACCTGGTTTTTAGCAGTGCTTTCTCTCTGACTTGGGATGTAGAGGGGAGAGCTAGGGACATATTCCACTCTTTTCTGTCACCCAGCATGCTCAGCCATGGTGCACTATGTCCCCTTCCACAGCAGGGTCCTGGCCTGTCCTGGCTCTGCTCCTGTTCCGCCCCGGGCTCCCCAGCATTCACCATCACTCCTGAGTCTGTGCCTCCCCAGGACTGATGGTCCTGCCCGACCTGTTCCTACTCCCCATTCTCTCCCCGCTCTCTCTGATGTCTGTAAGTGCTGTTGCAGCTCCCTCCCAGGGTAGCTAAGCCACTCTCTTGCCTCTGGAGTCCTGTCTAAGACAAAAGCTGAGGTCTCAGTGAGCCCCACAGTGCTGGTGATCACTGAGTGTGTCACTCCAAGAGTGTTCTGGTTGCCACGGACTGGGGCTGCTGTCCATGCTGGTTGGCCTCTGGAGCCTCACATCTGGTCTGCAGGGAATAGCAGGGGCTCTGTTCCCACCTCACTTGTGTCATCTCTCCCAGGAACAAGGACACGACCAGGGATGAATTTATCTTCTACTCCAAGCGCCTGATGCGGCTGCTAATCGAACATGCCTTGTCCTTCCTCCCCCTGAAGGTGGGTGACCACTCTTGGGGGTAGCCACAGCCCCACCCCCAGTCATAGGGTGTCTGGCTGCCCCCACACTCCTTGTGCTCCCCTTTCTGCAGTCGGTCACTGTGGAGACACCCCAGGGCACCATGTACGAGGGGAAGCGGTTCCACAGGCAGCGGGTGAGACACGGCTCCCTGCTCCCCATGAGGGCACAGCTCCTGGGGTCAGCATGCCCTGGGAGCACCCAGCACGTGTCCCTGCCCCTTTTCCAGATCACCGGCGTGTCCATCCTGCGAGCAGGTGAGACCATGGAGCAAGCCCTGACTGCTGTCTGCAAGGACATCCGCCTGGGCAAGATCCTCATCCAGACCAACCTGGACACGGGCGAGCCCGAGGTGAGTCCTGCTGCAGCCTGGCACGCGGCCCCGCGCCACTGGCACGTCACCAAGCGCCCTTCCTTCCCTCCCCAGCTCCACTACCTGCGCCTGCCCAAGGAGATCAGCGAGGACTACGTCATCCTCATGGACAGCACGGTGTCCACAGGGGCCGCGGCCATGATGGCTGTGCGCGTCCTGCTGGTGAGGGGCTGGGGAGGCGGGTGGGGCACGGCGTCCCCCGGGCCCGGCTGGGCTCTCACATCTCCGTACGCCACAGGACCATGACGTGCAGGAGGACAGGATCTTCCTGCTGTCGCTGCTGATGGCAGAGATGGGGGTGCACTCCGTGGCCTATGCCTTTCCCCGTGTCCACATCATCACCACCGCTGTGGACAAGCGGGTCAACGAGGAGTTCCACATCATTCCGGGCATTGGTGAGGGGGACCAGAGTGTGCTGTACCTCATGGCTAGGGCCAGCAGCCCTAGGGGTAGCCTGGCAGCCACACCAAAGGGAGGCTAGCAGGCTGGTGCTGCTGTGTCTTCACTTTGTCCCTTTCTTTGCCAGGTAACTTTGGAGACAGATACTTTGGCACCGATGGCCCCTCGGCCTGGTGTGAGAATGACAGCACGGACTGCTGATCTGGCCACAGGACCACAGGCTAGGCTGGCTGCAGGGCTGGCACCCATCCCTGACCCCAGGAAAGGCCCTGAGCTGCCAGCTGTGCCCACCTGCCAGCCCCTGGCTCTCTGGACCTGCAGACAAGCCCCTGCTACTGGTCTCCCTCTGCCCCAAAGGACCAGTCCTCCCCAGGGAGAAGAGAGGGATGGCCTCTCCTTCGGACCACGAAGAGGGGATATTTAGGACATTCCTTGCTCCCAGAGCCCTGCCTCTGGGCCAGCGGTGCCTCCAGAGGGAGTGGTGGCCTCCCTGCGGCTGTGCCTGAGGGGTGCTCACCTTCTCCCCAGGGAAAGAGGGGGATGGGGTCCAGTCCAGGCGACCTCTGTGCCTGGAATCCATATTTATTTATATTTATTGAGGGCGGCCTCCAGCTCCAGTGGGACCCTCTGACATCAGGGACTGGACCTCATAGATTCACCCCGTCCCTGCCAATCCACACTCCATCCCTGGCCCCGGGATTTGAGGGGGTTGTCACGGGGCTGCCTTCCCGGTGCTGTCCCATCCTCAGTGTGCAGAGTGCTGCCGGTGACCAGGGAGTGGTGAGGTGTCCCCGGTGCTGCCCTTGTTGCTCAGGTTCTTTTTCCAAAGGGCAGCGGCAGCCTTGCCCCCCCCCCTCGGCCCCACCACCGACGGCAGCAGGGAATCCCGGGGGCGGGGGTCTGCCCCGGTACCCGCGCCGTCCCGGGCCCGGCCGTGCCCTCACCACCTCTTCGCCGCCGTTTTGTACCAATAAAGGAGCAGCGCGATCCCCGAGTGCCGCCTCCTGCTGCCGCCGGACCGGGGTCAGGTGGTGCGGGCCGTGCTCTATACCGGGCGAGCCGTGCCCTGTACCGGGTGTCGCCGGGCGGGCCGTGCCTTGAACCGGGTGTCGCCGGGAGGGCCGTGCCCTGTACCGGGCGGGCCGTGCCCTGTACCGGGCGGGCCGTGCCCTGTACCGGGTGTCACCGGGCGGGCCGTGCCTTGAACCGGGTGTCGCCGGGAGGGCCGTGCCCTGTACCGGGCAGGCCGTGCCCTGTACCGGGCGGGCCGTGCCCTGTACCGGCTGTCGCCGGGCGGGCCGTGCCCTGTACCGGGCGGGCCGTGCTCTATACCGGGCGGGCCGTGCCCTGTACCGGGTGTCGCCAGGCTGGCCGTGCCCTGTACCGGGCGGGCCGTGCCCTGTACCGCGTGTCACCCGCGCCCTGTACCGGGTGTCACCGGGCGGGCCGTGCCTTGTACCGGGTGTCGCCGGGCGGGCCGTGCCCTGTACCGGGTGTCGCCAGGCTGGCCGTGCCCTGTACCGGGAGGGCCGTGCCCTGTACCGGGCGGGCCGTGCCCTGTACCGGTGTCACCGGGCGGGCCGTGCCCTGTACCGGGCGGG